TTTTTTTTTTTGTTAAGTTTGTGATTTGAGTCCGTTTTCATCAAAAAGATCTTTTACATATTTAAAACCACTTTCGATCCAATTTTTGAAATAAATAATTTTTCCTTTATATTTCAAATCCTTATTAAACCATATATTTTCACGCAAAAGTTGGTTCGATGCGCTTATTTGATTTTGTGCTTTACACTGATTAAATGCACATAAAACTTTCTTATAAAAGCGAGGTAACTTATAGAGTATGTTGAAGTCTGTAATCTCAGTAATATTTGATCGTACAAGGTAGGGTAAATTAAGCCCGTGTTGTACTAAACATGCATTTAAAAGATCTTTTAGACTACTTTCGGTATTTATAATTTTGGAAACCCATGCCGCTTTTGATGCCTTAACTTTCGTTTCAAAATCAATAATTCCTATTCCTCCATTATTAATTTCGCGAATGAGTGTATTTCGTTTAATGCGTTCACGATTTCCCCAAATAGATGAATATATTAATCTGTTCAGATTTTTAATAAAACTTCCATCTGGATTATCTAAACACATTAGCCGTGTATATGAGTTTTGATAAAATTAATGAATTTATTATCTGACATTTTCCAAAGATAGTAAGTTTCCGTTTTCTCCAGGAGTCTAGTATTTTTTCAAACTCTTTAAGTTTATTAAGCCAATTTCTTTCATTACATGCAGTTTTATCGTTTCCGATGTATATGCCTAAGCATCTTATTGCTTGACTGTTAATTTTGGTTTTACAAATGTATGATTCCTGTTTAAATCTTTCTTTTAGTCGTCCTAAAAGGATACATTCAGTTTTTGATATGTTTAGTTTTGTACCAGAAACTTTACCAAAATTTTCGATTATTTCTAACGCATTTTCTAGTGATGCTCTGTCATCAGCGTGTTGAATACATTTGATTTCATTTTCAAGTGAGTCAATGCTAAAACCTTTTATTTCTGCCGAAGAATTTATTTTCAAAGAAAGCACTTCCATAACAAAAAGGAATAAGAGCGCTGAAACAGGACATCCCTGTCTAATTCCTCTTTTCATTGAACATTGTCTGGAGAGCCATCCATTGTTTTTTATGTAAAAATATGGGTTTTTATATAATATTTTTATCCATGTTATAAAATTGCATCCGAAGTTATATTTATGAAGAGTATTAATTAAAAAATTCCATTCCACAGAATCAAAAGCCTTGTGGAAGTCTGCAAAAAGTAGAATCCCTTCCTTACTTTTATTTTCACAATATTCTAAAATATCTTATATCAGTCTAGCATTAGCGCCGATGAACCGACCTTTAATGTACCCTGTCTGATTTTTATTTATCAGGTTATCTATAACACGTTTTAATCTTTCCGCTAACACGAAAGCTATAATTTTATAATCGGTATTAGTAAGACTAATTGGTCGATAATTTTCAAGTTTATCTAAGGCATCTTTTTTATGTATAAGAGAAAGTACAGAGCCTTTTTGTGTTTGTGATAATTCGCCTTTTTCGAACGACGCTATTAAGGCATTGTAAAAAAATCTATTTACGTGTTTCCAAAACATTTTGTAAAACTCTACTGGTAAACCGTCGATTCCGGGAGATTTATTTTGTTTCATTCGATATACTGCTTCTGAACATTCTTTTAGTGACGGAAATTGATCGCAATTTATTTTTTCCTCCTCTGTAATTTTGTTAACGAAGTCAATATTATTTAAATAGTTTTCAATGTCATCGCTTGGAATATGTACACTCGAGTACAGATTTTCATAAAATAAACAAAGCTGTTTTAATATCATAATGTCGTCAGTTTTATCGTAGATCTGTTCGTCTTTTCTTATTGTATTTATAACATTATGTGATTGATGTTTGTTTTCAAGCCTTAGAAAATAAGAGGTATTCTTTTCACCTTCATCAATCCATTTAGCCCTCGATCGTATTTGAGCACCTTTAGATTTATATTCATATAATTTATCTAATTCGTCTTCTAGATCTTTTTTTTGAATCATGTTGATTTGTGTATAGTGACTATTTTCTATCCTCTCGATATCTTTTTCAATATTTTGTATTCTGCTTTTCAAAGATTTATTTTTTGGGGTGCAGAATTTGATACTTATTTTCTTTATGTGATGTTTTATCAATTCCCATTTAGTGTGAGCGTTATTTTCATTTTCTATATCTTTGGGAAGGTTGGGTAAAAAAATCATTTATCAAGGAACAATAATTGGGATCTTGTAGAACAGAGGTATTTAATTTCCAATAGCCTTTTCCCCTATCGTTAGCTGATACGGAACATTTAAAAATTAATGAGAGATGATCACTCATTCTACATTTAGAAACACTTGGTGCTTTACGTAAATATATATTCTCGGGAGTAAAGCAAAAATTTTTACTAAAAAATACAGAATCTATTCTACTTTTAGGCAAGTTGCTACCATCACACCACGTAAGACCATACATGTTGAAGTTTGTCCAAATGATTCAAAACTTATTTTTGAAAAGGAAAATTTAACATATTCTGTTCATTATTATTGAACAAACACCATTATTTTCAATATGCAGCATTTATCTATTCTCTGAAGCCTTATATATGTAATGTGTTTTGTGGGTTCGACCACGGATGAAGTATAGATAAAGAATTTTCCTTTACGTTACTTGACGTATTTAGCTGATTTGATTAAATATAAGAACAAACACAATCAAAAATAATCGACAATTCAATGATTTATACTGATCTTCTATATATCATAATTTTCCTTATTTTGTTATCTCTAAGCCCCTGGTCTGACACTTCTGTTTGAGCACTATAGCTCCCAGACCCTGTAGTTTTAACCACCGGGTTTCCAACACCCGTTTATAATATTTATTTACTCTTTATTAACCCGTAAGGATCTATGTTCCTCAAATGGTCCGTCTGCAGTACTTTGAGACACCGCAAATGAGAAAAACACAAATACCTTACCAATGAGACGTTCTCTTCTCTTGACGGCTTCTCCACAACTGAACACCGGGACTTGAATGAGCCCGCTTATATACTTTTCCAAGATCTGCTGAGTCAGATCTTCATCTTCTGAATGTTTGAAACATTGACTGTACATAGGAGATAACTTTTGATTGCTTAGACTAATTTAAACCCTGATTATATAATAATCAACTTGATCAAAGGAATTTCACTACAATTACCCATGCCTCCGAAACATATGCGTCCCGCATATAGATATATATAAAGCTTTCTGCTCCTGAATTTTTTTCTTTATTATAATTATCTAAAAAGCTAAGAGTTTGAGACCTCTTTTTCCGCATTCTGTCGCAATGTATAATTTGTTTTTCTCCTTTTCTGCCGCATGAAACTGCATATAGTACATCAGACCATTGTTCGAGCACTTCATATGGTCCGCGCCAAAACGAAGTAAGTTTTGGAGAACAGCCGATCTTTTTCTGAGGAAAGAATACAAAAACTTTATCTCCAGGCTTAAACTTCTCCCATGACAATTTCATATCATGGTATCTTTTCTGTCTGTTCATCGCAGTTTCTAAATTCTCCCGCACGAAACTGTGTGCTCTTTCTAATTTCTCTCGAAGAGTCCAGGCCTAATGATTAGGACTTTCCTCTTTCATAGTCTCCGACATCTCAGACATCAAGTCTACTGGAAGTGATGTTTCCCTACCGAGCATAAGCATGTTGGGTGTGAAACCCGTAGACTTATGTTCAGCAGATCGGTATGCCATCATGACATAGGGAATATGTGTATCCCAATCTCTTTGATTTTCTTGCACGTATGCACTTAGCATGGCTGTTAAGGTTCGATTGAACCTCTCTACCATCCCATCGGACTGTGGATGGTAGGGAGTGGTTCTTGTCTTTTGAATGTTCAGAAGCCTACACATCTCTGTAAAGAGCTCACTTTCGTATTGTCTACCCTGATCTGAATGAATTATTCTGGGTGTCCCGAATCTTGCAACTACTTCTTCTACGATCAATTTTGCTACAGTTTTAGCCTCCATGTTAGGCATTGGGAACGCCTCTGTCCATTTAGAGAAGTAGTCAGAAATTACCAAAATATATCTGTTCCCATTCTCTGTCATGGGCAACTCACCAAGAATATCAGTTGCTATGCGGTCCATAGGCATGCCAGAGGGTACAATTTCCATGTGTGACACCTTCTTCTTATTAGGATTTTTCCGCATAGTACAAGCACCACAGTCTGTAACATATTGCCTTACATCTTGTTGCAAGCCCGGCCAATAATATCTTTGGCGAACTCGAGCCGACGTTTTGAGAACTCCTAGTTGTCCAGGCGTTCTATCATCATGACAGTGTCTTAGAATATTACGCCTCTCAAATAGAGGAATCACTTGTAGCACATTTTTATTTCTTTCCAAAACCGTCCAACGCCTACAAAGTATACCGTTCATTAGAGTTAGTCTGTGCCACTGGCTCCAAAGTGATCGAAGAAAGTAACCGTTACTTCTTATGTCTTCAAACACAGGCCTCCTGTTGTTCTCAAGTCATGACTTGACAAGAGAGATATCTTTGTCCTGTTCTTGTATTTCCAACAACGTCATACTGCTAGTGTCTTTTTCCTCAAATACAGATCGAAATTGGGCTCCATTTCTTGTTTTCGCCATCTTGCGTGAACAAGAATCGTTCCCACACTGTTTACATGGTATTCTACTGAGTCAGTCTGAGTGCATCAGCGTTTTTATGTAATCTTCCTGGCCTATGTTGTACTTCAATCTCATATGTAGATAGCGTTTCTATCCACCTTGCTAGCTGACCTTCTGCATCTTTCTTGTTCAACAGCCATCTTAAGGAGCTATGATCTGTTCTGACAAGAAAAGTTTTCCCGTACAGATAATGTCTGAAGTACTTGACAAAGTTCACTATGGCCAATAGCTCTTTACGTGTCACACAATATTTACGTTCAGCCTTTGTCAAGCATCGACTTGCATAGCTTATAACCCTTTCCTCTCCGTCATGTACTTGGAACAAAATAGCTCCTACAGCCACATCACTGGCATCTGTATCAAGTATATATGGTTTGGAAAAATCAGGGTGTGAAAGCATGGGTGCTTTTATTAGTTTTTCACGCAAAATCTCAAACGCTTCCTGACATTCCTCAAACCATAAAAATCTTTTGCCTTTCTGTGTCAGCACATGGAGTGGTTTAGCTAATACAGCAAAATTTGGCACAAACTTCCTGTAGTAACTACAGAATCCAAGAAAAGATCTCAGTTCAGTCACATTGTTCGGACGAGGCCATTTCCGAATGACTCCTGTCTTTTTCGGGTCAGTTGATATTCCTTGCTCAGACACTACATGTCCGAGGTATTCAACCTTTCGCGCAAACAATGTGCATTTCTTAGCCTTGAGCTTTAGACCTGCTGCTGCGAGTTTCTCAAACACTGTTCTCACACAGACTGTTAGAAGGCTCTATGACTTTATTTTCCAACATATCTTGTACGTGTTTGTCTACTTCAGCATTCATGTGCTCAGGCAGTCTTCTTGGCACTTCTTTGATAGGTCTATTGTCACCTGTATTAATAGTATGTTTTGTCAGACCTGTCCTTCCTACATCTTTGTCAGACCTGGTAAATAAGTGGGTATACTTTATCAATAATGACTTTACAACCTTTGCTTGTTTCTTACTCAGGTTTGAGCTTGTCTTCGTGAATAATGATTTTAGATGTTCAGACAAATTATCAGAGGATTCCGATTCTCCTAATTCGCCCTCAATTACATCCTCTATAGGCGAAAGCTTTCCAGCCGTCCTTCCTGAATGTATTGTAACATTACTTTCTGATGGGTTAAACAGCCTTACTGGGACGTTTGAACCTCCTTTTACCAAAGTTCGTCCGACCAGTCCTCTGTCGGAATTAAGAAAAGTTGTTGATGGTTCAACTACCCCAACGTCTAAATTAAACTCCTTATTGTCTGGCACAATTACTTTTCCTATTGTCACCACTTCTGTTTTTGATGGCAATGTCATTGTTCCTGAGGCGATTATCCTAAAACATCCAATTTTTCCTTCAAACTCTAAGGAATGGGATTCGTCCCCTAGTTTAAGACTTTTATTGCATAAATCTATGACGCCTCTATTGACTTTCAAGCAATCTAAGCCCAAAACAGCATCGATAGTCATGTCGGCAACTATGACTGTTTGAAATATAATTTTCTTGCCGAATTTAAGCCTCAAAACTGTTTTTCCATGTACATTAAGAGGAGTGCCTGAAGCTGATAAAATCTTCTGGCTGGTCTCATTCAATTCCACGTCATGCTTCAAGCAGATTGCATCGAACACCTTACGTGAAATAAGAGTAACCGTGGCACCAGTGTCAACTAATATCATGGCAGACACATCATTGATGGTTCCACGAATATACATGCCTGGTTCATTGGACTTTTTGTGGATTCCAATGGAACCCTCAAGTTTCTCTTCTGACTTTCCTTTATTATGGGTAGCCATTTTAAATTGTCCAGACTTCTCTTTACCGGTCTCTGTATTTTTGAAAGACTTTCTTTTGCTATAGGAGTCAAATGGTCTTGGCTCATCATAAGTCTTACTGTTATTTGGACTCTTGGATCTACAATCCTTCTTGAAGTGTCCAGGCTTACCGCACTTGAAACACTTTTTGGAAGTACCTGCTGTCTGCTTTTTCTCATCAAACTTCCGAGACGTGTTGTAAGTAGTTTGGTAAGTAAGAGACTTCTGTTGCTCTGCTTTCATCTTATTCACATCTGTCTGTAGGCTCAGCAACATCTCCTTGATAGACTTTATAGAGTCCTCTAGACTACCACTGTTAGTCTCATGACGAGTATTATCGCCTCCTGCTTCTCGAACAAAACCACTGTCTTCATTTCTTCTGCGTTCTGCTCCAACAAACGCATTGAGCTCAACAGGGTGTCGAATGGCATCATTCAGATTCTGGGGTCGTGACTGTTTAATTCTCAAACGCATGTCAAAACTTACAAGAGCGTCGATAAAATATTCTTTCGCCAATGTTTCACAAACATCTCCTGGAGCGGTTGGATATGCCAGACGTTTGAGTCGTCTAATATCTTGGCCCTGCTGTGGTATTGTTTCTGACGCTTTTTGTCGTCTCTCCCTAAGTTGCGCCCTATACAGTTCCGTCTGATTAGCTGGGGAAAAACGTTCTTCCAGGGACTTGGACAACTCTTTAAAATCCATCTGCAGATATTCTGGGAGGTTTCCAAGCACACCTTGGGCTAGACCTCTTAAGGACACGGCCAGATACATCCCCTTCTCTTCTTCAGACCAGTGGTTCAAACAAGCGCATGCATTGAAATGCGACTTATAGTCCAACCACGACGTCGTTCCATCATAAGTTGCAGGTTTCAGCTTACTGGATTTTTCATCTTTTCCCAAGCGGTCCCGAACATCATGCACTTCAAATCTATTGTCTCTAAACCTGCGTGTTGTAACATTGCTTGGAACATTTCTAGGTGTTTCAAAATATAGCGCATGGTCTGAAACTGGTCTACGTGTTCTGTCACTGATGTAGTCAAAATCAGTTTCTGCCTCAGCCTCAACCTTTACTTTAGGTTTAACTCCTCCAAACTCTTGTCTTGGTTCAGAACTCACTTGTTCCGAGGCACCAATGCCAGAATCTCTATTTGTTATTGGTGTTGAGGCTTTCTGTCTCTCTTTTTCCTTCAAACGCATACTCTCATTGGAGAACTCTTTAATTTTCTCTTCAAGATAACTAATCTCTTTATTAACGTCATCCATGGTTTGAAACCTAACCTAATTTTCTCAAACAAAGTTCTTAAAAAAAATAATTGTTCTTAATATGAAAATCACAAGTGGGTTTTAGATCAATTTATCCCACTGCTGCCACCAAAAATTTGTAGTGTGTTTTGTGGGTTCGACCACGGATGAAGTATAGATAAAGAATTTTCCTTTACGTTACTTGACGTATTTAGCTGATTTGATTAAATATAAGAACAAACACAATCAAAAATAATCGACAATTCAATGATTTATACTGATCTTCTATATATCATAATTTTCCTTATTTTGTTATCTCTAAGCCCCTGGTCTGACACTTCTGTTTGAGCACTATAGCCCCCAGACCCTGTAGTTTTAACACCGGGTTTCCAACACCCGTTTATAATATTTATTTACTCTTTATTAACCCGGATCTATGTTCCTCAAATGGTCCGTCTGCAGTACTTTGAGACACCGCAAATGAGAAAAACACAAATACCTTACCAATGAGACGTTCTCTTCTCTTGACGGCTTCTCCACAACTGAACACCGGGACTTGAATGAGCCCGCTTATATACTTTTCCAAGATCTGCTGAGTCAGATCTTCATCTTCTGAATGTTTGAAACATTGACTGTACATAGGAGATAACTTTAGATTGCTTAGACTAATTTAAACCCTGATTATATAATAATCAACTTGATCAAAGGAATTTCACTACATATATAAAACATCACATATTAGAATGTGGCATTTTAGTCAAAAGAGTCGTTTGTCCTCGAAAAAACAATTATTTATAATTTTTTTTCTTTATTAGAATAGTCACGAACTCTCATCACCGCCATACTGAAATACTTCCCGCTCTTTCTTAAACCGAATAAACCACCATCGGAGATGGTTTGGTTGGTTTAACGAACTGGTTTCAGTTACTGCCAAAACAAATGGAAAATCGGTTCTGGGTTTAAACTACTTTAAAACCAGTTTGTGGAACAAACGAACAGTTTACAAAACTGGTTCAAAACTAAACTCAGCTTTTGAGAAACAAATTCGCCCTGTATTTATCAGATAATCTATGTTTTGCGATCGCAAATGATTGTTTTTGGTGTTAAGCATAGTTTACGGTTGTGAAATATAGATTATCGCGTTAACTACGGTTTACAGATGTAAAATGTAGATTAACGTTGTAAACTGTATTTAACAGTCCGAAACTATAGTTTACAACCGTTAAAACTAGTTTATCGACTGTGGAACTATGTTTTGCTCATTTTTGTGAATTTGGCGTGCCAAACATTTGTACAAAAGTTATTTTTATATTCTTGCAGCTCTAATCGCCGCTTTTTTTCTTTTTTAGCTCTACTGGTCAGAGACCAGAAGAGCTTATGCAATAGTAAGGTATCCGTCGTCCGTCCGTCTGTCTGTCTAGCTGTCCGTCTGTCTGTAAACAATTTTTCAAAACGCTACTCCTCCTACAGTTTTGCTCTGATTTTAATATAACTTGGCACACAAGTAGACTACACTAAGATACATAAAATAGTGCATCGGTTTTTGATTTCGATGAACGGTGTTGCCATGGTTACTAAAAATAGAATTTTCTGTGAAATTCCTTTAAAATGTTACTCCTCCTACAGTCAATGTAACTTCGCACACGAGTAGATTACACTAAGATACATAAAATAGTGCATCGGTTTTTGATTTCAATGAACGGTGTTGCCATGGTTACTAAAAATAGAATTTTCTGTGAAATTCCTTTAAAATACTACTCCTCCTACAGTTTAATCTGATTTCAGTATTACTTGGCACACAAGTAAAATACACAAATATACATAAAATAGTGCATCGGTTTTTGATTTTGATGAACGGTGTTGCCACGGTTACTAAAATTAGAATTTTCTGTGAAATTTCTTTAAAACGCTACTCCAACAGTTTTGATCTGATTTCAATATAACTTGGCACACAAGTAGACTACACTAAGATACATAAAACAGTGCATCGGTTTATGATTTCGATGAACGGTGTTGCCATGATTACTAAAAATAGAATTTTCTGTGAAATTCCTTTAAAACGCTACTCCTTCTATAGTTTTGGTCTGATGGCAATGGCTTCTTTTCTCATTCCTTGTTATAAGTACAGACCAGTAGAGCTACACTCTCGACAGAGACTTCTGGTTTAACGTTGGGCTCGATGCTTTGTTTGAGAATGATTGATTGGTTGTATGTTGTTTTACGTCCCATTCGAGATTTTTTCACTCATACATATATAACAAGAGGCCCAGGGGCCACAGCGCTCACCTGAGCACATCAGGCTTGAATTTA